AGAACTGATTAACTCCAAGTGCAAACTGAAGTATATCATTTTCTCACTTGCTTTATTTTCCTTGCTTTAAAAAAATGGCCAATATGAAAATACATTTTGCATGATTTCACATGTATAATTGATATCATATTGCTTGTCTTCTTAGTGGGTGAGAACAAGAGAATTTGAAAGCCAAAATTAAAAAAAAAAGAATGTTAAAAATAAATAAATTAAAATATTTTAAAAATAGTTATCTGTTTTTAATTTTGTTAAGTTCTTGGATTTGAAGAATTGTTATTTTATTCTGGGAGTTAGTAATTTTTTTTTTCAGTTTGACTGGGCTCTTTCTTTCACTGGGCTCTTCTTTTGGTCTTTTGCTGACATTAATGTGTGGAGACAGAAAATTTTCACTATGGGCTGCTTTAGCTGCATGTCATAAGGTTTTTTTTGTGTCTCTTCATTGTTATCATTTTTATATTATTATTTGTTCTCTATGATTTGTTCTTTAACCCACTCATTCTTTACTCAAGCAGTCAATAAATATTTATTAAGCATCTACAGTGTGCCACACACTCTGTTAAATGCTGTATATGCAAAGGAAACAAACAACATTCCATACTTTCAAGGAACTCATAATCTGATGGGGGAAAACAACATATAAAATGGAAATAAAAAGCAGGGGGTGGGGTTGGGGTGAGGAAAGCAAGGTATCTGGGGGCCAAGGTATGATAAAGTCCAGAGAGGAGCAGCCAAATGGGGAATGATGAGATGACTTTCCAGAGCACCCTCCTTAAACAGAAGGTCTGGGAGAAGACTCTGGGAAGAGTCTTCCTTTATTCACTCCTTATATTCTATTTCCTATGATCACTATATGTTCTAATTATGGATGCATGCATCTTATCCCTCCTCTGCCCAAACTTCCTCTAGTTAGAGGAAAAGGAGGGGGGGTGCCCAGAAACAGTGGGTACTGATAAAGTATGAGTTTCAGGCTTGATGTGAGCTTGCAGAATGAGTTTCAAGACCACAATGAAGGATTCTTTAGGGTTACAAAATTTAGTAATCACTTAAATCTGAAGTCTTTCTTCAAATTTCTCTCATTGATTGAAATTTTTAATTTACTAGTTCTACCTTTATGGATTTATTTATGAGTTCTTTTCTCCATTTCTTACAGTAATTTTTTTTTTGGTACTGCACAAAGCTGAAAAATAAATTTGCCCTATATGGTTCCCATATAGTAATCACCAAAGTATCTATCTAATTTTCTAATAATCTGTTTAGGATATTAATTTCTTTATTTTTTTTTGTTAGATTTGTCTGGATCTAAAACAGGCATTGCAAATAATTATGCCTTTACTGTCTAGATCTCTCTGTGGTTCAGTCAGCTTTTCCTTTAAATGGAACAAAGGCTATGCCAAATGGCATAGCATCTACATGTACACATGCAAATATCTACATATACACATATGCATGCACACAAATACACACACATACATACATGTGGGTGTATCAATGAAAAGCATTTATTAACATACAGAGAAGAGCAAAGACAGTCTCTGCTCTCAAGGAACTCTTGGTCCAATTTACATATGTGTATATGTGTGTGAGTGTATACAAATATTTTACATGAAACACACACACACATACATACATACATACACAGAGGAGCTGTCTACTGTCACTCGTGGTCAATGTGACTTTGAAAAGTCAATTAACCCCCCTGGACCTCACATTCCTTATCTTTTAAATGAGAGGGTGGATGAGACAGCTTCACAGGTCCCTCCCAGCCCTACATCTATGATTCTATGATCTTCTAAGCCTGTCTAGGTATCTTCTTAGACCTTGATTAACTTCTCTTCTGGAAATATACTGGATTTCCTGACTCACATTTTGACCACATCCTTTCAGGTTCATTTTATTTGTTTTTCCTCCATAACTTCTAATAACACTGAGAACCACATTATCTTTTTTATACTTGGATATCATATAATCCTATGTGCAACAGTAAGATTATTATTCAAGTTAAATCCACATTGCAAATGCTCACTACAGAGTGAGTTGTTAGTTATCGCATTATCCTTCAATACCCAATTCAAGGTTCCCCTTCACTATAAAACCTTTACTCCAGCTCACAGGCCAAACTCTCATTGGCCCGACTTGACTTCCTGAGGTAGTGAGTTACTGTGCTTATCAGTGACATGGAACTTATCACTTACTACCTTGCGCTGCGAATCACTTTGTGATGCTGCAATGCACCTAGAATTCCCCTTTCCCATCTCCTCCCCTAGGCTAATTCTATTTGTTGAAATCTTCTACGTCCTTCAAGACCCAGTCCAAATGCTACCTTCTCCATGGAAGCTTCCCTGATTTCATCCTTTCTGATTGGAAATAACCTTTCCTTTCTCAGGTTGTACCTGTACTTCCTTTATTCACTCCTTATATTCTATTTCCTATGATCACTATATGTTCTAATTATGGATGCATGCATCTTATCCCTCCTCTGCCCAGTTATAAACTCCCTGAGGGCAGGGGTTGTGCTCAGCTGAATCAGTTCCTCTACTGGCCTTCCCACACAACTGAAAGTGATCTTTCTCTTCTCAAATTTTCTCAAATCACCTTGCCTCTGTCTCTTCTTTGTCCCCATCCCATTCTATCTGGAATTGTATCAATCTGTATGCATATCATGTCATGTAAGCATCTCAAAGGCAGGTGGGTGTGTACACACACACACACACACACACCCATATAAACCCATATAAGTATACACACATATGCATACATATGCATATAGACATATACACATACCTGAACCTATACAGATGTATACACATAAGATATATGGGTGTGTACATATATACATTGGACAGTTAAGTGGCACAGTGGATAAGTACCTAGCCTGGGGTCAAGAAGTTCAAAACTGGTCTCAGACACTTACTAGTTGGCGTGATCTTGGGCAAGTCACTTGACCCTGTTTGCTTCAGTTTCTTCATCTGTAAAATGAGTTGGAGAAAGAAATTGCAAACCATGCCAGTATCTTTGCCAAGAAAACCCCAAATAGGGTTGGTCCATGAACTTGATTTTAAAAAATATATATTGATGACTGTATTCACCATAATTGGCTTCAATTGTTATTGTTTGTATTTTATTTTATGCATTTTACGTTATTATTCCATCTGAGAAGGAGTCCACAGGCTTCATCAGACTCCAAAAGTCTCATGATGCCGTAAGGTTTAAGAACCTTTGATATAAGACCCTTTCTGAGAGGTAAATACAAATTCAGAATTTATGAAACTGTTCTTCAAGGAAGGCCTGCCCCCTGGTGGGCATTTATTTCATTGCTTTTCTGAAATTCCTTTCAAAGCCTGAGTTGAAATTTGCTAAAATTAACCCAGCTAAGAAAGTCGCCTCACTTTTTTTGTGAGAGCCGAATTTTATACCAAAAATGTCTAAATTAGTTCTTCTTTTGGTCACGTGGAATTCCTATTTTCACCAGTCTCTGGACAAGATACACTTAGTGGTTTTATAATGGATCCAGCGCCATACAATGCCGCCATGAATGCTGGCAGAAAACTCTTGGTCAGGCTATAAGAAGGACAGGACAAACAGGACTTTGTTCAAAAGCAACTTCCTCCCTAGGCTAACCGCCATTAGAAGGGAAAGGAAGAGGCATTTATTAAGGACTTACTATGTACCCGGCACATCTATGTGCTAAGTACTTTATAAATATTATTTCATTTAAGCCTTGCAGGGAGTGGTAAGTGCTATTACTATCCTCATCTTACAATTGAGAAAATTGAGGCAAATAGAGGTTTAGCTACTTGCCCAAGGTCCCATACCTAGGAAGTGTCTGAGGCCAGATTTGAACTCAGGTCTTCCTGACTCTGTACCCAGAGCTCTATTCACTAGGCCACCTAGCTTCTCTAATTTGTTTATGATCTCATCCTTCACGTCTAAATCATGTTTCCATTGGTTACTTGCCTTGGTACACAGCATGAAATATCAGTGAATATCTAATTTCTACCAGACTGCTTTCCAGTTTTCCAGCAATTTTTGTTGGAAGAGTTTTATCTCCACATACTTTTATCACCATAAGAGAAAAATGACAGATCAAGGAATTGGAATACTACTAAATACATTACAAAAGCAATAAACACAAAAGTATAAATTCTGAAAATTAAAGAAGAGCTAAACAAAGTTGAAAAAAAAAACAAATACAACCATGAATGGATTAAAAAAAATAATGAATAGCTAAATGTCAGCTAGTTTGGTCTGAAAAAGGAGAAAACAAAATTAATATAATTAAAAATGGAAATTAATATACTTAAAAATGGAAAAAGAGAATTCATAACAGATGAAGAGGAAATTAGTAAGTAAATTTAATAAATTAGTAAGTAAAATTAATAAAAAAACTATTTTGCCCAATTATACTCCTTCAAATCTGATAATGAATACAATAGATTATAATAAAAATATAAAATATCCATATTAATAGAAAAAGATTTTGATTTCTCCCCAGTCATGAGAAGCAAAGAATTGTTAGGGGTGGAGGTGGGGGATGGGAATCTATCGGGCTGATAAAGTACCTTCTTTGTGACTTGGGACCCATCCTGTGTCAGGGATCCCCCAATGTGGCTGCAGTACCTCTGTCTGAATACATATCCCCAACCCCAAGAAATGGAAGACACTGATTATTAATAGTCCTCAGACCTTTTTAGCCCCCCCTCCTTCTGCCCTTTTGGCTCAAAGTAGAAGGTGTTTTTTGGGAGTCATTCGGTATCATGTTAGGCCTACAATACCGACTATGGTTTTTCCATTGTCTCCATGTCACTGCAACCTTAATTCCCCCAGAGAGCTTTAACCCTGTTTTTTTTTTTTATCTAGGAGAAACTGAGGGTTGGAACAGAAAGGGAAATATGAAAAGGCACTAAGCGTGTTGGGAATTGAGTATGGCTGACCTCAGTGTCCTCCTCATGCACTCTTTGCCCTAGGACTGGGAAGAAATTCATATAGGAGAGCCAACACAATGATTTTTCAAGGTTTTTATTGAAGTATGATGTAGTATGTCACAAGACATACAAAAACCCCCCAAAAACCAAAATGCCCAGTTCACAGATCTGAGCCTTTATCATCTCCTAATGTTCTCCTGGGGCGCTATTCCTTGGTGGGGCAGGCTTGCTTTTCCTGAGGGACGAGCAGGGGACCCTGAGACCCAGAGAAAGGAAAATCAAGCAACACATTGTTAGCTGAGCTTAGAATCAGATTAACTTTGGAGCTGCAAGAGGTCTCAGAGGTTGTTTCCTCCAACCTAGTCATTTTACAGATGGTGAAACTGAGATTTAGAAAAATGAAGCTACCTGTCCAAGGTCACATAAGTAAAAAGTGGCAAGGCAGGGACCCAAGTCTCCTGATTTCCAGTCCAATACTCATTCCTCAATGGGCTGGCTCAGAGATGACAGTATTCATGGCACTGCTACCTTGGGATGGCCAGCAATGGAAAAAGATGGGGATTTCTAGGCCCAGGAGTGAGGGAAGGTCTTCCTTGCCGGGGAAGGCCAGCAAGGAAGGGAGACAGTATAGGGTAGGAATGAAGGTAGGCAGTCCTCTTGGAGTTATTCCTTCTGGAAGTAGAATTTGGTGATGATGGCCTCTGTTTGAGTGTTGGAAAGGCTGACTGGCCTGTCGGGCTCTGCCTGGGTGCAGAGGAACCAGCCAGGGCAGGCAGCGGACTCAAAGCTGCAGGTGGAACCGTTTTCAGACTTGATGAAAGTGAAACGCTCGGACTCATTTCTATCCTTGTTCAGGTCTGTGATGTTCACTGCCTAGAGACAGAAACAAGGTGGTTCAATAATGAACTTATTAGGGATGAGTAGAGAAAAGGAAGAAGGAAAAGGGAAGGTGAAAGAGTCAGAGAAGGTGCATTAGAGAGGTAGGAGGAGAACCAGAAAGAAGCAGGGCCTGTCACAGGCCCTCTTTGCCCTGCAAAGGAGAAAATGAATTTCAGGGAGTCGGTGGGCCACCAGGCCAAATCTGCAGAGATCTGTGAGGAGCTGCGTGTCCTGGGGTATAGGCCTTGCCTTCTCTGTGCCTGTTTTGTCCTCCGTGAAAAGGAGGGGGTCAGATTAATCCATCCCTAAGATCCTTTTCAGCTCTGAAAATGTATGCTTCTTTGATTCTAGGAGCAATCTCCAAATGGCAAACATTCTTAGCCATGCTGGGTCCATTCTTCGACATTAATGCAATGCCAAAAAAAACCCATATTCAGTTCAGCTTAGGAAGGGTGAAATGCTGGATATTTTTTTTATTTCAAGTTTTAAAAATATTTATTTACATATTTTTTTTTGTGAGGCAATCAGGGTTAAGTGACTTGCCTAGGGTCACATAGTTAGTAAGTGTCAAGTATCTGAGGCTGGATTTGAACTCAGGTCCTCCTCACTCCAAGGCCAGAGCTCTACCCACCACAGCACCTAGCTGCCCTATTTACATCTTTTTAAAATGGTGCATTCTAATCATCCAGGTTGTTTGAAGGGCAGCACGACAATGAAGACCTTGACACAGTTTTGAATTTTACTTTCTCTCAATAAGATTTACTTATGATCTTGTTCTGTTTCACCAACCCAGGAGCTCAAAGGTATTCAGCACAGTGCCTGGCACATAGAAGGTGCTTAATAAATGCTCTATCTATCTATCTACATAAGCACATATCCACCTATCATCTACCTATCCATTCACTCATCTATCTATTTATCTCCATCTATCTATCATCCATTCTATCTATCTCTATCCAGTTATCTATCTACCTCTATCCAGTTATCTATCTCTATCTAGTTAGCTATCTATCTCTATCCAGTTATCTATCTCTATCTAGTTATCTATCTATCTCTATCCAGTTATCTATCTATCTATCTATCTATCTATCTATCTATCTATCTATCTATCTGTCATCTACTACATCTTCTTACCCACCCAAGGTGGATGGAATGATCACTTGTTGGTATCGTATGGTAAATATTGCTCTTGTGTTTGGATTGATGGACCACTGAAGTCATTTCTAGCTCTGAAATTTTGTAATTCTAGGATTCTGGATTGGGGAAATGGGGTTGCTGTTTTTAATCAGTCAACAAACCTCTATTAAGCCCTTACTATTGAAGTCTTGGAATATAAAAAGAAAAAACAAAAAGCCCCTGCCTTCAAGGAGCTTACATTCTAACAGAGGAATTTACATGTAAAAATTGTACATATAAGATAATATGCAGTGGAAACAGAAGGCTTCTTACCTGAGAAGGGTAATATCTTAGCGCATTAAATCACAGATTGTTAGACTCTAAGACCTGGAAGGGAAGCTCAGGATCAACTAATCCAAAATCTTCACTTTGTAGTTGAGAAAACCAAGGCCCAGTTAAGGCAAAGGACTTGGCCAAAGTCACACAACTAACTATGAACATATTGAATGATTAGTAGCCCTTTCCTAGCTGAAAGCAGTGAATTGAGGGAATGGGACACAGGGTAAGCACGTTCTGATAGAGATGGGGAAATGCTGGAGTCCGACACTTCCTCAGCAGATATGGTTATGAGAAGACACCATAGTGGCAGAGAGAAGATGGCCTTAATGGAATGATGGTGCTGGCAGAGATTCTTACCTCCAACCGGAGAAGGACTGTATCACCCGATTTGACACAGGCCAGGCACAGGCTCCCGTCATGGATCCCCAAAAGTACAGAATGAGGATCAATGGAAACCAGGTCAATTTTCTCTGGGAAAAAAATACAGCAGAGGGGACAGTGAGAGCCCTAGAGTATCAGGGAGGGAGAGGTGGGCAGACAGACAGAACCAGGAGTCAGGAGTGGGTCTTGGTCCTCAGCAGCCTTGCTAGGTAACTTTGGATGAGTCTTCTCCTGTTGCTGAGCTACCATTTCACCTCAGAGTTGGGGGACCTGTGAGGCCATCTATTCCTACCTATACCTGAATTTATTCTATAATATCCTTGATGAGCAGTCATCTGGCCTTGGCTTAAAGACCTCCAGGGAGGGGTAACCACCAACATGCCTTGAGATAATTGTTCAGAGGCAGTATAGCTGAGTCCATAGAGAACCAGCCTCAACCTGAGTTCCTATGTCTGCCACATACTGGCTGTGTGACCCTAGAGAAGTCCTTTACCCTCCAAGACTACTTTCCAAAACTCTAAATTGCAGAAAAGATGTCAGCCTGCATTGGGAGGAATTTCCTTAGTGGAAAATTCTCTCTACCAATGAAATCATAGGTCCCGTCCCTATTTAATTGTTAGGAAGTTCTTCCTTACATTAAGCCTTGATTTTTCTTTTTATAACTATGATCCATTTCTCCCAGCTCTGCTGTCTAGTGGCCTTCTTCACCTTCCTTCCCACCTTACCCTTGGTAGGTGAGCTCCATTTTAAAGTTGATGTTCACTGGGAAAGGAAGGAGAACCCTGAGTTCTAGACTTTCACGCTATAAGGAGAGAGAGAGAGAGAGAGAAAGAGAGAGAGATTGAGGAAGAGATAGATAGAATAAAAGATAACCCTGAGTTCTAGACTTTCCATGTTACATATATATATATATTATATATATATATATATATATGGAGAGAGAGAGAGAGAGAGAGAGAGAGAGAGAGAGATAGTGAGTCAGAGATACATAGAAAAAAAAGAGAATCCAGAGTCCTAGACTTTTATGTTATAAGGGGCGGAGTGTGTGTGTGCAAGAGAGAGAGAGAAAAAAAGGAGGAGGAGGAGGAGGAAAGAGGAGAGAGGAGAGAGAAAGCCAGAGAGAGAGAGAGAGAGGGAGAGAGCCAGAGATATGTAGAGTAAGAGAGAATACTGAATTCTAGACTTTCCATGTTAGAGGAAGAGAGAGATAGAAAGAGAGGAGGGGGAATCAGAATTAGAAGTGGAAAGACTCTTAAGGGTGAACTTGTCCAATTCTTCATTTGTATAGATAGGGAAAAATAGACCCATGGTGGCAAAGAGACTTGCCCAAGGTCATCCAGCATTCATGGCAGAGCTGGTGCAGTGGAAAGAGTTCTCTGGATTTAGAATAGGAGAATCTGCGTTCAAATCCGGACTCTGCTCACTTAGCCCATGGGGGCTTCGGTTTCTTCATTTGTAAAGTTGAGGGGAATTAAACTAGATGGTTTCTAAGATATCTTCCAGCTTTAGATCTGGAAGCCTTTTTATCTGTTTGACTCCCTAATGTTAGAATGCCCAGGGTATAACAACATGCTACTCTCATGAGCTAAGCTTCAGACTTAGGGAGCAAATGAACACTGTCTAGCAGGGGTTTGGAATTGGGAAAAAATGTGGCTTTGAATTTAAAGTTTAAATAGATTGAATCCAATGTCACAGACTCCAAGGCTCAACATACGTACACATGCAAATGCACACACATGCATGTACGTGCACCCCCCCCACACCCACACATGTACCCTCCTCACACAACAACTGACCTTCTAGGTTAGAATTAGGGCCTTGCAAATAGCCAGCCACGAGTTGGTTGTTCCTCAGATAAAAAGTCTTCTGGCAGATGTCCCAGATTCTGAAATGCCAGGGCACATGGTTTAGAGGGCCAGATCTCTCAGTGCCAGCCTTAGACTCAGAGCCCTGAGAAACTGCTTACATTGATGAATTTAATCCCCACCCTGACCCTGTGAGACAGGCAGGGCAGGCATTGTTATTATAGCTCGAATAAGAAAATGCATTGAAAGCTCATTACAATTCTAAAAGGGCAGCTAGGTAGTGCAGTGGATAGCATGCCAGTCCTGGAGTCAGGAAGACTCATCTTCCCAAATTCAAATCTGGCCTCAGACACTTGCTAGCTGTGTGACACTGGGCAAGTCACTTAACCCTGTTTGCCTCAGTTTCCTCATCTGTAAAATGATCTGGAAAAGGAAATGGCAAACTGCTCCAGTATCTTTGCCAAGAAAACCCCAAATGGGTTCACAAAAAAGTCAGACGTGACTAAACATCATTACTTTGAAAAAGTTTGGGAGAATGAAGTTTTCCTAAAACTTTCTGCAAGTTCTCTTGTTAGAATATGAAACATACAGCAGATAATAGAGCACAATCCAGCAGATGGGCAGGGAAAGAAATGTGGGTCAGAACAGCATGTGAAGTATATATGCTGTTCTGTAGCAGCAGGGCATAGCTAATATAAATCTGCCCTCCTGGTCCAGGCCAACAAGTCTGCAGGGAACTTCTGATATTAAAACCCCTTTGAGCAGAGTTCCCTTCTCCTGAATTCCTATCTCTCAGACAGCACTGTCCTGGGGAGAAAGACGCTGTCAAGCATAATTTTGAAACACTGACTGAATTTCCAAAGTCTGTGGAAATCATAACATCAAGTCAGGCTTTTTCTTTTGATCCTTCAGTTTTGAAAATCACTATCAACTCCCATTCCCATAGCCCTGTAAGGTCTGCAAAGCATTTTCCTCATTGCAACCCTGGGAAGTTGTTATTAAAAGTGTTATTATTCCCATTTTATAGATGAGAAAACTGAGTCTTGGATCAGTTAAGAGAATTGCCCAAGAGTTAGTAGCTTGGCATAGTTTGTAGGGTGCTGGACCTGGCGTCAGGAAAGGTGAGGGCTCAAATGTCCCCTCTCTTACTTCCCTAGCTGTTACTTAACCCCTCTGAGCAGCAGAAATCTCTTCCATAAAATTGAGATGTAATACTCGCTGTAATCATACTCACTTGTTGAGAGGTTCAAGTGAGATAACACAGGCAAAGGACTTTTTAACATTCACTCCATTATAGAAATGTCAGTTATCAGGTTGCCCCGGGTCACACAGTTAGGGAGTGTTAAAGGCTGCGTATGAGACGCCTTCTCTCCTGACTCCAAATCCAGTCCGCTTCCTCTCGGGTAAGCTTCCTCCCCAACAGCCGGTCCAACCATCTCCCCTCTTTCTGAACAGTAGATGGAGCATTCTTTCCTTTGCAAGCCCTCCCCCAGAGCCTTGCCAGCCCGGGCTCCCCATCCACTCTGAAAGCTAAGCATTCGTCCCCTATGGATTTTCCCTAGCCTACCCTTGCACAGAGTCAGCAATAACTGTAAAGCGACCAACTTACCTGTAGGCCTGTTTCTTGGGAGTCATTTTCTCAAAGGGGAGGGACGCTGTTTCTGAATGAAAAAGGAAGAGGAGAAAAGTGATCAGAAAGCCCCGGAGTCTCACACAGGGATCCATCTTGCTCCCTTGACCACTGCAGGCTCCACCAGTCTACCTACCATTGTAACCCAAGTCCCACTACTTATAAAGAAAAAGGCCACCCACCAAATTCAGCAGGGCTCTCGCTGTCAGGGACTAGAAACCGGAAATGCATTAGAATTTCCAAAAAACTATTGTTGTCATTTTGTGGCCCCTTGTTTCGCAACTGGTGTCGTAACAACCCTCTACGATGCAATTTCCCCAAAACAAGATTGCTGTTTCCTCTTCACTGATTACCTTGGAAGAAAAGCGTAACAAAAACTTTCTGGAGCATCTTTCAGGCACTTTGAGTCTCAGTTTCGCGCTTTTCAAAATGAAGAGGTGAGACCAGATCATCTCTAATCTAACTAGATCATCCCCTTCTAGGTGTTAGGTGGATATCCTGCTACTGAGCATGGGACATTTTAAAAGGAGAATTTCTAGGAGAAAATAGAAGTTTTCCTTTTGGGTCTAGACCAGAGGTTGGGGAAGCCCTTGCTTCGTGAGGTTGCCCGCTGGCAATTTGCATCCTTTGGCAAGACTTGTAGGGAACTGGTCCTGGGGGAAAGTTTAGCCTTCCTGGCTCAGTGCTCCAAAACTAGCAACAACCACAGACTGGATGACCACTTGTCGGGGTTGTACAGTGGGAATTCCTTTTTGGTTATGAGTTAGACAAGATGGTTTCTGAGTTCCCTTCCTTCTGTGGTTATAAACAGTACTTTCCTTTCTGTGGTTCTATCTATGTGATTTTGGGTGAGTTGTTAACCCTCTCTGAGCCTCAGTTTCTTCATCTGTGAAATGGGGATACTAGTACTTCTAATAGATAGAGCAATACCAGTAATAGAATTATAAAATTCTAAAATCTCAATAATTCTGGGACAGATTTTTGTTTTATTTATTTATTTTTAGTGAGGCAATTGGGGTTAAGCGACTTGCCCAGAGTCACACAGCTAGGAAGTATTACGTGTCTGAGATTGGATTTGAACTCTGGTCCTCCTGATTCCAGGGACAGTGCTCTATACATCGCGCCACCTAGCTGCCCCTTCTGGGAGAGAATTTAAAGCCAGAAAGGATCTCAGACACTGTCTTGCTCAAATCTTTTCATTTTATAGGGGAGGAAATAGGCCCAGAGAGGTGAGATTATTTGCCTAAGGATACACAGTAGCAGAGTCAGGATTTGAACCCTATGTTGTGAATCCTCCAGATGAGGAGAGAAAACAGGATAATGATAATATTAACAATAATAATAACTAGCATTTATATAATGCTCTAAGGTTTGTGAAGCACTTTACATATGCTATTTCATTTGATCTTCACAACAACCCTGGGAGCTAGGTGTGATTATTATCCCTATTTTACAAATGAGGAGACTGAGGCTGAGAGGCCAAATAATTTCTTCAGAGTGATACAGCTAGTAAGTGGCCAAGGTAGGATTTGAATTGTCCACTGTGCTAACAGTAAATATAAATAGTAACAGTAGAATAATAATAAAATGGTAAAAATAAATAGTAAAAATTTATAATATAAATAATAATAGTTACTAGTAACTAACCACATTTAGATTGCATTTTTAAGTTTTGGAAAGCATTTTATGCATATTATTTATCTTATTTGAACCTCACAATAATTCTGCAAGGTAACTAACACAAGTATTATTATCCTCATTTTACAGATGAAGAAACTGAGTTTCAGGTTCAGCAGCTCCCTCAAAGTTACACACAAAGCAAGTTGAGTTTATACATTCCTGATTCAAATCTAGAATTCTATGCACTATACCTCACAGTTTCTTTTGAGGTTACTGGATCACTTTTACCTGGAGAAGAAAAGCCTTGGATGGAAACATGGTGACAAGCTTTAGAGAGGCAGGTGTGGGCTGTATGTGAGGAAAACCAATTATCACTAAGAATGAGCCCAAAGGGAATGAGCTGTCTGGGTTGGAAATGGGTTCCACCTCAATGGACATCTCCAACAGAGGATAAATGACCACATGAAAATGTTGTAGAATGGACCTGAGGCCAAGTAAAGGATTTGACTAGATGGTTCCTGAGATCTCATTCAATCCTAAAATTCTCTGATTTGAATGTTTCAAGAAGTCAAGGATGAGATGTTTTATAGACAGGAATGCCAAGTCCCCAAGATGGAAAATAGTATGCCAAGGTCACCATGGACAGCTGCCTTGAAGGGAGAAGAGAGAGAAGCCTAGGGTTTGGGACTTGAGATAATTGATTCTAGTGCCCTTATACCTTCATTATTAGAAGTGAGGTAACTGAAGTCTGGAATAGCTGGGTGAACTGGGCAAGGACACACAGCCAGATAGCCCCTGAGAAAGGGCTAGAGTCTAGGTCTCTGAGGTTCACAATCCAATGCCCTCCACTCTCCCACATTGTCTCAATGAGATTCACTGCCACAATAGCACATATTTCTCACTCTAGCTTACTCTCACATCACTGTCACCTGGATCACTGCAGTGTCCTCCTAATTGGTCTCCCTGCCTCAAGTCCATTCTCCATTTCAGCCCATCTTCCACACACTGCCAAAGTAATTTTCTTAAAGCTTAGGTATAACCATGACATCCCCTCACTCAAAAAAAAAAAATTCACAATCTCCCCATTGACTCCAGGATCAAATATAAATCTCCCCCCCTCAATTTGACATTTAAAGCCCTTCACGATCTGGTCCCATCTTAGCTTTCTTGCCTTATATATTCACTCCACCCCAGTGTGAACTCTATGTCCAGCCAAATGGACTTTCAAATAGTTCCTCCTGTGAGACTCTCTACTTCTTATCTTCATACCATTGTATTGGCTGTCTCCCATGCCTGGAATACACACTCCCCCTCCCTTCCATCTCTTGGGATCCCTCTCATCCTTCAAACCTCAGCTTGTGTAACATTCTATAGGAGACTTTTCCTGCTCCTCTCAACTGCCCTGTATATGTTACATCCATCCATCTGTCTATCTATCTATCTGTCCATCCATCTATCTATCTATCTATATCTACATATAAATATACATATATAATACATACACATGTATATGTGTATTACATATACATATTATCTCCTTCATTAGGCTCCTTGAGGTCAAGAATTATTTTTTGTCTTTATAATCCTAGCATAGCTAGACACTTAAGGTCATAGATTTAGAGCTGGAAGGGACTGATATTGAATCAAACTCATTCATTTCAGATGAGGAAACTGAGGCAGAAAGAGGTGAAGTCACTTGGCCACGTCACACAACTAGTAAGTGTCTGATGTGAGATTTGAATCTAGGTCTTCCTGACTCCGAGTGCAGGGCTCTATCCTTTACAACATGGGTTGATTGAGATGATGCTTTAAGGTTTGCTAAGCACTTCGACACAGAGTAGTTCATTGGGTTCATGCAACAACTGAATGATGTTGGTTTGAGACCAAGAAATTGAGACGTTGAGGAGTTAAATGATTTGCCCAGGAGGACAAGAGGCAGAATTCAAATCCAGGTCTCCCTGGCTCTAGACTAGTCATTCTACCCACTCTACCTTATTGACAGGTTGTTTTTGATGAACACGCCAGAATGGATCTAACCAGATGAATGTTGTTCTCTTCTAAGAGTAACTGTCAAGAGGATGCCCTCTCACCTATTCCCGGGATGCCACCATTGTTCTTCTTGGAGGATACCCTGTGATGCAGTCACTTGGCATGTGCTTGGTGGTGAGGAATCTTTATCTTCAGAAGGTGGATTGGATTTTTAGAGATAGCAGATGGTCATGTATAGACATAGTGAATTAAGTGTCTGAGAAATCTGGAAGTCATTGTATTGGACCCAACATCAGTTATGATTTGAATAAAGAGGGTGGTTTTCTTGCATGGTCCACCAATTCCAAAGAGGAATTAAAAATATGTTGCCCTATGGCATTTCCCTGATACCTGAGACCAGAGTATAGCCTCTCAAAGGATCACCAGATTATTGACCTAGAGTTGGAAAGAAGCTTGGAGATCCTTGAATCCAATTCCCTTATTTGAGGGATGAGGAGAATGCAGCCCAGAGAAAGGGAGCAGCTTGCCCAAGATCACACAGATGGTAGGTAGCAGAGCCTGATTGGAACCCAAATTTTCTGGGCAGAGTCCTTTTTTTTTAAGGCAATCAAGGAGACTTGCCCAGGGTCACACAGCTAGCAAGTGTCTGAGGTCAGATTTGAACTCAGGTCCTCCTGACTCCAGGGCCAGTGCTTTATCCATTGTGCCACCTAGCTGCCCCAGGCAGTCTTTTTTTTTTAGGGGAACCCAAGTTTTCTGAAATCAAATCCTATGCTCTTTTCATTGCATCCATGGCCTCAAAGTCTATCACTCACTGGGATGTATAAATTAAACAACAGGTCTCATTACTCCACAGTTGTGCTCACAAGGAAAGCAAGATGCCTTCAGGATTTCAACCCACTTCTCTCTCTATGGCCATTCCAGACATTCTGCTTATTGGCCTTGTGGCTGCCATTTCCTCATCTTTAAAATAAGGCCATCTGAGCAGGAGATTCAGGTCCCTCCTCGCTGTGGCTCTTATGACCCAATGATTCTCCATTATAAGGAGATTAAGATTCCTAGGCTCACAGACTTGCCGATTCAGGGTCTAAGGTCCCCAGAAGACTATTGGCACTTCTTTCGAGTTTCTTACAAACTAAACTCTTCTTCTCAAGTCCTTCCAGGGTTTTGTGGCTTCCAAAGTCACCATAAAATACATTTTCATGAGAGATGAAAGGGTACTGTCAGATCCTGAAATAACCCAAATTCTTAAGTGAAAGAGAAAAGAAATGTGTCTTTATTCAAAATTTTTTTAAAAGGTTGCAAAAGGGGGTCACTCACAAATGCAAAGCACCATTGATTTCCCAAAATGGAGACCTGTGAGAAGTTTTTTATACCTTAGGAAGACAAGGGGAAGGAGTAGCAAGGTCTGGTCATGAGATGCCAGCTGCCCTTGGCAATCTGAGCTGAGGAAATCCACTTTATTCTAGCTGTTTTACACTCCATGCCATGAATCCTAACAGAAGGGGTAGCAATGTCAAAGGGACTATCTGGCTAGTTCTGTTTAGCAGGAAAGATTCTGAGGTGGGGGCTTAAGATTTCAGGGTGGGGGCTTAAGATGTGTTTCGGCTCAACCTAATCTCATTATCTTAATGGTAGGAATATAAAAACATTACTGGAATTTAGAGGTTTAGGAGTCTATATTACAATCAGTATTAACAACTCTATATCATTGTGTTAACAATTATATTAACAGTTTTTTCAGTATTTAACCCCAAGCCAATGCTGGGAGAAGACATCTTCCCTCCTCTCCCCGCACACCCTCCCCACTACCATCTACTCTCCTCAAGAGTGCCTGATTCCCTTTCTACTGATTGGATAACTTTTAGTTGCCACAGTCCACTGATAAAAAGGGAAGCGATAGGCTCACAGGTATTCTTACAGGCAAGAAGGCATAGTGGAAAGAAAGAACTGGAACCAGGAGAGATATGGATTCAAATCCTGTCTTTTATGTCCATTATACAGCTGTGTGACTTTGGCAAAATCACTAACCTCTCTGAGTTTTCATTCCCTGATCAGTAGATGGGGGCTATGGGGATAACAATACCTCCAATATTATAACATACAGGTTTGTTATGAGGATCAAATGAAAAAAGAATGTATGAAAAACACTTTGTTAAGTCTAAAGTCCTATGGAACTGTCAGCTGTTATTCCTTGATTTATCGTCTTCCCATGCATTCTCCACAGTTAGTCAATAAGCATTTATTGAGCACTTATTGTATACCAGGCACTGTACTAAATGCTGGGAATACAGAGAGAAGCCAACACAGCTCCTGCCCTCAAGAAGCTCACCATGTAATGGGGAACACAGCACATAGATATCTAGATATCTATTAAGTATATACAGAGTAGATGGAAGATGATTTCAAAAGAGAAGGGACTAGCAACTGGGAGACTAATTCTTCAGCAGGCAGAGTCTTGAAGAAAGCCAAAGAAATTTAGAGGTGGAGATTGGGAGGGAGAGCATTCCCGGTGTAAGGGACAGCCAGTGCAAGAACGAGGAGGCGGGGGATGAGCTGTTGTGTGCGAGGAATGGCAAGGCCAATGCAGCTGAAGCAGAGATGTGTGGAAGCAAATGTGGAAAGAAGGGGAAGAGAGGAAGAAGGCAGCTTAGGGAGAGCTGCAAATGCCAGAGAGAGGAGTTTATTTCTGATCTTGGAGGTAATAGGGAGCCTCTGGAATTCAGTGCATGAAGTTATTGCAAGGACACAACTAGTCTTTTCTGTAGCATCTCCAAATACAAGCTAGATACCATTGAGGTAAGTCAAATACATTCTCAAATTACTCAAGATGGAACTGAATTAAAGCACATATAGAACATGTAAAGGAATAGAGTGCCAGGCTTAGAATCAGGAAGACTTATCTTCATGAGTTTAACCTGGCCTCTGTCACATACTAGCTATGTGACCCTGGGCAAGTCATTTCACCCTATTTGCCTCAGTTACCTCATCTGTAAAATGAGCTGGAGAAGGAAATGGAAAAGCACTGTAGTATCTTTGCCATGAAAACCCCAAATGGGATCACAAAGAGTTGGACATGACTGAAAACTACTAAACACAAGGTCCCTTCCAGTCTCACATCTACGATTCACTGAATAAGGTAAACATTGCAAGGGATGCCAGCTGGAAGTTGCTTAGCTTCTCCCAGGTTCTTAAGCAATTTGGACGGTTTCACTTGTTTTGATTTTGAGCAACTGCCTAACTCACTAGACTTGAGTTGTAGCATGTGGATTGATCTGCATTGATAGAGAATTCTTCATTGGGAATTCCCTATACCAATAAAATCACATGTTCAATATGAACATTATTCAGAGCACAGAGCAACGAATTGGAAGAAAGACAAAGATTTATAAAAATATGGTCCCTGCAGTTAGTGGCACAGTGGATAGAACACTAGGCCTGGAAGTCAGGAAGATTTACATTCAAATCTGACCTCAGTTACTTAGTGTAAGCCTGAATGTGTTACTTAACCTCTGTCTGCCTCAATTTTCTTAGCTGTAAAACGGGAGTGATAACAGCACCTACTTCCCAGGGTTGTTGTGATCAAATAAGATAATATTTGTAAAGTGCTTAGAACAGTGCCTGGCACATAGCATGCACTTAATAAATGCTCATATCCTTTTCCCTCTCTCTTCCCTTTTCTTCCTCCCTGCTTCCTTTCCTCCTTCCCTCTTCTTTCTTCCTTTCCTTCTCCTTAACTTTCCTTTCCTTTCCTTTCCTTTCCTTTCCTTTCCTTTCCTTTCCTTT